TGGACATGCCCGACCTAGCGATGGGAGGTCCATAGCCCGCCCTCCCCGCCCAGGAGCCAGGGATTCGACCCTCGGGGGCCTGCCGCTGGTGGGCGGCGCATCGCTGATTCCAGAGTGGAGCAAGCTGTCTCGACCGCCACAAAGTCAGGAAGGAAAAAAACACACAGACACAATGAATCGTCGCTTCCCCAGAAAAGATTGGAAACTATGGGAAGGGGGGGGGGGGGAAGACAAAAACCCAGAAACTATGAGAAAATATGGGGAATCCGGTTATTTGTGTGTATTTATTTGTGTGTCCTGGGGCCCCTTCATAAGGGAGGTGACGTTCTGTCAGAGCTGGTGCACCCTGGCATCCTCCTGCTTGATGTTCCTCGTGCCGCGCAGTTTGCATGAGTCGGGCTGAGTTGTAGGGCCAGTCTGGACCAGTCCGGTCTAGTGCCATGTTTATCGGGCCTCGTAGCACCCAGCCGCTCTGGCGAAGGTCTCCCAGGAGCTGCCTCCGACAATGTGGATCTATGCCGCACGTGGACGGGCGAAGCTATTTCCATATACAGTCGGGGCCCTGAAGAAGGAACCCTTTTCGTTGGGGAGGGGCTCCGCGTTCCTTAAGTGTTTCACAGCTTGCCTCAGGCTTTCCTTATGTTTTCGACAGGAAATCGAAGGTTAACTTGTGGAAAAAAGGGGCCTCGTTCCTTATTTAGGGTTCCTTAGGTCAACGCCCCGACTGTATGTGTGTATATATATATATATAGATGGGGAAGTCCTTGGAAGGCAAGGGAAGTCTTCTGATGTTCCCACCCACTTCAGCTCTGGCCACCAGGAAGGACTTCGAGCACCAGGAACGTGATGACACGGGATGGTTTCCACGCGTCGGGCCCTGGGAGGGTGATACTCGTCCGACACCGTTTCGATACCTTTCTGGGAGCTTGAAGTTGCCATTTTGGGATGTGGTCCGAAAGTACGATGGGAACAGCATTTGGGAGGTCCTCGAGGGCAAATTTGCGAGCGGATGCCCGATGCTTCTCCCCGGGGTGCCTCTCTTGCTCCACGCCCTGGCGTCACGGCGCCCGTCTGCAGCCCCCCTGGAGGCGTGCACCTGCAGCCCCCCCCCCCCTCGAGCGTTGTCCCTCGCCCTCCGGCGTGCCTGGGCGCGCGGGAGCTTCTGCCACCCGCCTTCTCGGGGGTGGAGGGAGCGATGATGATGATGATGATGATGATGATGATGATGATGATGATGATGATGATGATGATGATGGTGATGATGGTGATGGTGATGGTGATGGTGATGGTAATGGTGATGGTGATGATGATGCTGATGCTGATGCTGATGCTGATGCTGATGCTGATGCTGATGATGATGATTATGATGATGATGATGATGATGATGATGATGATGATGATGATGATGATGATGGTGATGATGGTGATGATGCTGATGGTGATGGTGATGGTGATGATGATGAGGAGGAGGAGGAGGAGGAGAAGGAGGAGGAGGAGGAAGAGCAGGAGGAGGAAGAGGAGGAGGAGTAGGAGGAGGAGGAGGACTCGCTCCCTCCTGCCCACTTCCCTCCTCACCATGTCCCCTCCCCCTTCTGCCCCCTCCTCCTGCCCTGTCCCCGCCCCCCACGTGTTGCCCCACTTTATGTGTACAGACTTAAGTGTGTGTATATATATGTATAAAAATAAGATCTTCCTTTATAGTGATACTTGTTTTGTTTCTCTCTCTCTCTCTTTCTCTCTCTCTCTCTCTCTCGCTCTATAGATCTCTCTCTCTCTCTCTCGGGTTCGATCGGTTTCGGTTTCGCTATCGGTTCGGTGGGCTTTCGGTTTCCGCATCATTCGCGCACGTCCATGTATTGTGTTTCGCCCCACAGGCGTTGCCGCGTGACGAGTAGAGTGGGTTGATATGTGTTCCAGCCCGTCGCGATGGCGAAGATAGTAGAATTGTGTGTTTCTCGTCGCGCTGCGTTGCGGCGTGCCGAGTCGAATGACATATTTGTTGTTGCCGTCCCGCTCCGCGTCTGCGTGGCGCGTAAAGTCGAGTAGGCGTGTGTTCGCCATTGCCACGTGGCGAGTGTTGACGTGGCGACTATCATAAAATCGGTTTGTTTTGCTCTTTGCGCGTTGCCACGTTTCAAGTGGAGTGTCGTTTATTGTTGTCGCCCCCCTGTCGTTGCCACGTGACGAGTACATCGAAGAGGCGATATTTCCGCCACGCTGCGTTGCAACCTGGCGAGTGCAATGGACGAGTGAACAGTTAATGTCTGCTTCGCCCCCCAGATGCTGCCGCGTGACGAGCAGAGTGGAATGGTGTTGCTTCCAGCCCGCTGCGTTGCCACTTGGCGAAACGAGTAGACGTGTACGTGTTCGGCCGCGCTGCGTTGCCACGTGGCGAACATGATATAATCGTATTGTGCCACCTCTCGGGCGTTGCCACGTGCGGAGTAGATGACGACACGATTCGAAGAGGTGTTGCTGACGCCGTGTTGCCTTGCCGCTTGGCGAGGACAGCGTCAAGATACGGTTGCCTCACCACCCGAGGCTTTGCCGCGTGATGGCTCGCGTGCATGTCTGTTCTTTGTACGCCACGCTGTGCCGCCACGCGGCGAGCGTGTGCCATGGCTTCTTGTCGGTTGCATTGCTTTGGCGAGTGCAGCATGGTGGTGCGTTGCGTTGTTACGTGGCGGGTGTGCTGTGCTCGTATTGTGTCGCTTTTCGGGCACCGCCACGTGCCGAGCAGAGTGGCCTGCTTCGTTTGCCGCTCACCAGGCGCTGCCACGTGACGAGCAAAGTAGACGAGGCGTTTTCGACGCCCCACTGCGTTGCCGCTTGGCTAGAACAACGGAATAGTACCTGCCCCCCCCCCCCCCCCAGCGGTTGCACGCTCCAATCGAGAGGAGCGGTATCGTTTCCGCCACGTGGCGTGGCCGCTTCGCCACAGGCGCGTTGCCGCGTGACGAGTAGAGTGCATCGGCATTTTTGTTCCAGCTTGCTGCACTGGCGGTTTCTAGTAGGATAGTGTCTCTCCCGCCGCGTGGCGTTGCCGCGTGGCGACTCGAGTAGCATCGTAGGGTTTCGCGTCTCGGGCGTTGACACGTGCCGAGTAGTGAGGCACGGGGTTTCAGAGGCATGGTCGTTCTTTCGCGTTCCAGTTTTCGTGTGCCAGGGAGGGTGCCACCCCCCCTCGGAAATGGGACAACTTACAACCAATTAGAAGAGTGTTCAACCAGTTTAATATTACATCCAACCACTGTGGTACTACTTCTAACAACTTCAGTACGGATTCAAATCAATGAACATGAGAACCCTCAGGCGTCTGATAGGCATCTCACAGGCGCCTTGCAGGTGACAGACGTGTTACATGCGTCTCTGAGCGGCGTCTCTGAGAGGCGTCTTACAGGCGGCTCTGAGAGGCGTCTTACAGGCGTCTCCCACAAGCGTCTTGCAGGCGCCTCTGAATGGCGTCTCTCAGATAAATTTCTGAGAGGCGTCTTACAGGCAGCTCTGAGACATGCAATACAAGCGTATCCCTAAACCCTTCAAAACCTGTAATCCGTTAAATCATTAAAGCTTTCAGCCTTTCAGCCCCGAAACCATTAAACAATTAAACCCTTCAACCCTTGAGTCCTTGTAACCTTAGGGCCTCAAACCCTTTTAACCCTTCACCGTTGCAACCGTTCCAAAACACCCCAGGCAACCCTTAACACTTTGAGTTGTTCAATCGTTGGATATTTCGACCCTGAAGCCCTTGCACAAATTTTACGCCCTGAAACTCTTGATCCCTTAAACCCTTGACCACTTAAACCCTCAACCCTCGAACACTTGATTCCGTAAGCCCATGAGCCGTCAAGCCATTCAACCCTTGAATTTGAAAATTTTTAAACCATAAAGCCCAAATGTCTGACTACCTTTGTTCGGGTTGTCCGGGGATGGTTGTTTCGGAGATGTAGCACCCATTCATTAACACCGCCATCCATATCTTAATGTTGAGTTCCATATCATCACACTTAAGTGTTGTACACATTCCAATTTTGGCAATCGTGTTGGTTTCTGTCATACATGTGCACGCATCAGAAGTCTTGTGGGTATGTACGAGCAGCGCCACATATTTAGAAACACCAGGTGAGGTTACTTGACTGGCTGGAATGTGTACCAGAATGGCTTCTCGTGCAGTTGGAACAAGTACCAGCTGGTTGTCAGTAGACCCAGCTGGTTGGGATCAAGACAGGGGGGGGGGCTTTTCCCCTACGCCCCTCCGCGGTTGCTAAGCAGTTGTTCGCTGGGTATCGCTCCATTTGGCCCCTCGACTCCTCCCTAGGCACAGGTTGTCCTTGATCCCATGACAGTTTGTCGACGGCCCAGGGTCCCAGGCATGGCATTCAGATGCTTAAGCTGAGAGCAATGTTTCCTTCGCCAGCGTAGCGGCGACGCTGTCGGGAAGCCTTGGTTGCGTGTGCCACATGCAAGCAACATCATCCAGCGTTGTGGATGAGGGTATATCACCGAACGCGTTCCACTACTCGGAAAGTGCCTACTCGCAAATGTACGGAACACATGTGTTTACCTCGGTGTAACGGATCGTAAATCCCCCCGGGAGGACCCAGGCCATCTGAGAGCAGTCACTTTGCGAGTAGTGGAACGCGCTTGCCCAGTACAAGCAGGCTGCCCAGCTCACCAGTGCAGGATTTGCATTGGGCCCCCAGCGGAACAGGCGCACAGACGCAGGAGGAGGCAAGCAGCACCCATATTGCTTCAAGGCGTCAGGGGTCAGCTTCCCGCGTGCTGATCCCCAGGCCTCTCGCCCGCTCGCTTTGGTGAGCGAGCGAGCGAGCGCGGGGTCCCCTCCCTTCCTCCCGCCCCCCGCTCGCTCGCTCGAGCAAGCGAGCGAGCGAGCGAGTGGCCGGGGGGGGGGGGAGAGGATCCCTCGCTCCCTCGTCCGAGCGAGCGAGGGAGAGCCTTGGCGTGCTTGCCCGCCTCCAGTGCGCGCGCGCGCGCGCCAGACGCCTGGCGGACCGACGCGGCCTATGACGCTGCTGGAGCGCTTCGGCTGAGCTCGTGCGTGGGCCGGGCGCTGGCGACCGCCTCCGTGCGCGCGATCGCTGCCCCGTGAGCCGAAGAAAACATGACTCATGGCTCACCACCCACCAAGCCACTCCAACCCAACCCCAACCACCACCAAGCCACCCCAACCCAACCCGAAGGCTCAGATTTACCCTCGATTTCCACTGGGGGGGCGTCGGGAAACATTGAAAAAACACGTGTGGAACCCTTACCCCTCCCAACCCGAAATTCGGGTATTCGGGTTGGGTTGGGGTGGTCTGGTAGGTAGCCAATGACCAACATGTCTCGGAGGTCCACCCCCCTTGCTCCACCACCGGCGCGCTCCGCGCGCCAGGGCGGGAGCTCCAGCGCTGATCGAAGACATCCGCGCTGACCTCCTCCTCCTCCTCCTCCTCCTCCTCCGCCTCCTCCTCCTCCTCCTCCTCCCCCTCCTCCAAGACCGTGTCTGGCCCCCGAGGCCGAGTCCCGGTCTATTTCTGTTGTTTGCTCCGTGCCCTCGACGGGGCCTTCGGCATTTGATGAGACTATGCCAAAGTGTGTTGGAGAGATGAATGGTCTTGATATTGGGCTGAATTCATTCTCGGATCCTCAAGTACATCTTGATGTTGTTCCGCATCCGAAATACCTTCATCCTCATCACGCAACAGAAGAATGTGGCAGACAGCATGCGCTGTGGACTCATACTGTTATGGATGGGAGGAACATGGGTGGGATGCAGGTAAGGCCGCCTGTTGTTTGCTCTGTTGGTGCTTCGCCGTCCTCTCGTGAGGGTTTTCCGAGGCGAGAGTTCGTTCTGCCCCCAAGGATCCCTTACCTCCCTCCTGCAGAGCGCTCGGTAATGTCAGCATGTGATTAACAAATCCGTGGGGGGGTCGCGTGTTCAAAAAATAGCTCCCCTGCTCGGGCGAATCGCGGAGTGGCGCCCGCCAGATTGAAAGTCAACGGCGGCGGCGCCGGTGATGAGCGCCGACGCCGAGCCACCAGCGGGAAGGCGACAGACAGCACAGGCTGGGGGAGGGGAGGGGGGCGGGAGGCAAAGGCGGCAGAAGTAGGGACCGTGAGCCAGGGCGACGCCTGTTCGGAATGAAAAAGAACTGCTGTCAGCGCTCGCCCTGCACTTTCCGTGCTCTGTTCTGTCGAACCGATGCCCTTCCTTTGCCCTGGCCGTAGCCAGGGGGGCGCCAGTTGCTTCGCGGGCGCGTGAGCAAGGTGGGCTGGACGAAAAAGGGGCGTGGCCAAGCGGGGATTTGCCCAGCAGCTCACATAGCTGATTTTCCGAGCGCCCCCTGCCGCCTGAAGCGGCCATGCATCGAGGATTGGCCCTTCGGCGGGGCCACCGAAACCAGCTGCGCGCAGCAGGTTTCGCAACCCACCCTTTACTTCCCCAGCCTGTCGCCCGACCCGAGCAAAGCTGACAGTCGTTCTCCCCCTTTCTGTCGTGGTTTCTGTAGTCGCCAACGACGACGACGCAAACGAAAACGACGACGACGACGACGACGACGACGACGACGACGACGGCGATGGCGACGCCAACGACGACGACGACGACGCCAACGACGACGACGACGACAACGAAGACGATGACGATGACGACGACAAGGGCGACTAAGACGACGACGACGACAACGACGACGATGGCGACGGCGGCGACGACGACGACGACGACGACGACCACGACGACCGAAAACGGGGAACAAATTCGCCCTGGATGTGTACGAACCCTATAACAATGTTTATACGATCGTCTTGCAACTGTCATGCAGAAGGGGGCGCACGACCCCCTTGGCGGCGCCAGTGACGACCACCTGGCGCGCGCGCTTCAGCCGCATGCCTGCTTGCGCCCCGCAGGGGTTTCCTCATCCGCCCCTGGATGGGCCTGGGCCATCTGCGAACCACAAGCTGGCACGATCAGGGGCCCGTGGCTCGTGGGGCCATCCGTGACGTCCGAGCTACAGGCGCGGACCCCATACTCAGGAGGGAAAGAAACACACAGACACAATTAATCGTCGATTCCCCAGAAAATATGGAAAAATATGGGAAGTGGTGGGGAAAACAGAAACCCAGAAAATATGGGAAAATATGGGGAATATTTTTATTTGTGTGTATTTATTTGTGTGTTCCAGTTCCCCTTCACATACGTTCGTATGCAGCGCACGGGCGGCGGGCAGGGGGAGGAGGGACGGCGCGTCCGCCCGTGGAGGGCCGCAGCCGCGTGGCATCCGAGAAGGCGCGCCCGGGGTCGCCTCCTCCTCCTCCTACACCTCCTCCTCCTCCTCCACCTCCTCCTCCTCCTCCTCCTCCTCCTCCTCTCTTCTCGCCCGCTTCCTCCTCCTCCTCCTCCTCCTCCTCCTCCTCCTCCTCCTCCTCCTCCTCCTCCTCCTGCGCGCCCGGGGATTTCCAGCGACATCCATAGGTGGTTTGAACTCGCGTCGTCGCATCGATTTCCAGCGACATCCATGGGTGGCTTGAACTCGCGTCGTCGTATCGATTTCCAGCGACATCCAGGGGTGGCTTGAACTCGCGTCGTCGCATCGATTTCTAGCGACATCCAGGGGTGGCTTGAACTCGCGTCGTCGTATCGATTCCCAGCGACATCCAGGGGTGGCTTGAACTCGCGTCGTCGCATCGATTCCCAGCGACATCCAGAGGTGGCTTGAACTCGCGTCGTCGTATCGATTCCCAGCGACATCCAGAGGTGGCTTGAACTCGCGTCGTCGTATCGATTCCCAGCGACATCCAGAGGTGGCTTGAATTCGCGTCGTCGTATCGATTCCCAGCGACATCCAGAGGTGGCTTGAATTCGCGTCGTCGCATATCCAGGTAGTATGCCTGGCGCCGCGGGCGACCTCCGCAAGGGCAGACCCCTGCGGAGGTGCGCCTTCGGGCCAGAAGGGGCGCTTTTGCCCCCCAGCGCCCCCCCCCCCCAGAAGTGTTTGAAGTCTGACCAAACGTAGCCCTTCATCCTCGCCGCCGTTGTGAAATATCCTCCTCGTGCGCGGCTGGGCCCGTTGCGCGGGGTTGATGTGGTCGAGCCAGTTGTTTTGGCCAGCCTCCCACCTTCACATTTTGAGGCTCTCGCATCCACCGTCTCGAACGACGAATGTTCGGCCTCGGCTGGGGTGTCCGCCCCCTCCTTCGCCGCCGCCCCTTTTTCTCCCTCGTCCCACAGATCCTCCTTCCAGATGTTCCTCCTCGAATCTCCCCGATCGTCCCCCAAAGCTCCCCAGTCCTTCCTCCCAAACTCCTTCCTCCCAGATCGCTCGTACCCCCGCGAATCCGTCCTCTCATCCCGCCTCACCGTCCCGACCCGCGGCCCGTGGCCCCCCCACGAAAACAAAACTTCCACCCAGAGGCCACTCAGCAGCAGAATTCCGGACGAGCGGCAGGCCACCAGGCCAATCGGTCATTCTGAGTGTCCTCGAGTTTGGCCGCGCTCGGTCTAGTTGTCTTAGAGGCAGGTGTCCTTTTCATCCCCTGGCGGTAACGGGCGTTACCGGGGGGGTGGGAGGCACCAGGGGGGTAGTAGTGTCACGATTCGCGCCGGCGCCTTATGGGAGCGCTTCGGATTCCTCCACCTCCTCCTCCTCCTCCTCCTCCTCCTCCTCCTCCTCCTCCTCCTCCTCCTCCTCCTCCTCCTCCTCCTCCTCCTCCTCCTCCTCCTCCTCCTCCTCCTCCTCCTCCTCCTCCTCCGCCCCTGCTTCTGGCAGCGGCGGTGGACAAGCGGGTCCTGGCCCATGGTCTGCGAGGCCTCCCACGCCCTCGATCCTCGGACCCCGCTGCCTCCCCACCGCCGCGAGGCTGGGCCCCCCTGCAGAGCGAGGCCGCGCGGTCCGGAACACGCCCGCGCGGCCCCGCGGCCCACGGATGGCCCGAGGCCGCCGTGCGCCGCCGCGGCGCGCGGCCGCGGCGCGCCGCGCGCGCCGGCGCGCGCGCGCGCGGCGCGGATGTTGCTGGCGGATGAGCCTCCGCTGCACGAGGCGGAGGCCTCCGGCCGGGGAGGGGAGAAGGAAAAGGTACCCATACTTCTATTTACCAGTTTGGAGCATATCCCTATCCCTGTGTTTGGCATCACCTCACCTCGATGCCGATCTTAAGGATTCCCTCGATGCCGATCTCAAGTATTCCCTAAGATTGTTCTCTCTTTTTACCCCGGACCCGAGTTACCCCGGACAACTCGGGCGCCCAATGTTGGTTTCCCCCAGTGGGGTGTGGCCTGAATTCGGCGGCGAGCCAGAGGGGGAATACGAGAATCTGGGCCTCGTAGGTGGGGTCGGAGCAGATGGGGTCGGAGGATCGCGCCGCATCGCCGATGCATCGCCGATGCGGCTCGATGTGCAGCCCGATTATTTGCTTCACGTCGACGTCGCCGCATCGCCGACGTCCACGATGCGTCGCTAGTGCATCGCCGATGCATCGCCCATGCATCGCCCATGTATCGCCGATGTGTCGGGGATGCGGCGCGATCCTCCGACCCCATCTTTTCCGACCCCACCTGGGAGGCCTCCAGAAGGCCTTGAGGCGGGGGTCAGTGCAGACGGGGGTCAGCCAGAGCGCCAGATTTTGCAGCAGCGCCTGCAGGGCCAGGGGAGCACCGGCCTGGGCTTGCGTGCAGGATCCCGCAGGGTCCTTGCGGGCCCTTGCGGGGTTCTGCTCCTGCGAAGCCTAACTGGCCCGGGTCCGCATCGGCCTGCGTCAGCGGATCCCGGGCGGAGCCTCCGTCGGAGGCGTCCGACGGAGGCCCCGCCCCGCTCCGTCTGGCCAGAGAGCCTTGGCATCGCTTCGACGTGTGTGTGTATGTATGTATGTGTGTGTATGTGTAGGTGTGTGTGTGTGTGTTTTTGTTTCTCGGCGAGGACCATCGAGGTGCATCCTGGGCCATCCCGCGACACGCTCGCGCACGAAGGAGCGACGCGTTCACGGGGAATGTGCGCCCGAGGGGTGGCAAGGAAGAGCGGCACGGGTTCTCGGAGGTCCGCGCGGAGTTCTCGGA